TTTTTTTTGAGACAAGGACTCGCTATGCAGTTCAGGCTGGCCTTGAGCTCACTTTGTAACCCAAGCTGGTCTCGAGCTCGCAACAATCCTCCTGCCTCAGCCTCCTGAGTGCTTGGATTACAGGAGTGCACCACCACACCCAGCTTGGGTGGTTGTCTACCTAAGAAAGCACCACAGACAAATGACCTGAGGGCTGAGGCATGCGGCTCCACCATCCCCAGGCACAGGGAGTTTCCCACAGAGCCCTGCCCTGCACCTCAGATCTGTAGGGTGCCACCGGGCCTACATCCAGGAGGGCAGGGAGCCAGGGGTCCAACAGAGCAGAAGAGAACAAACCCCTGACTCGCTGGACTCATGCTAGTCCCTTGGATGGTTGTCACCCTTGCACAGGTTTTCTTGGTAGAGTACTTGCCTAGCCTGGGCGAGGCCCTAGGTTTGACCTCCAGCACTATAAAAGGAAAAAAAATAGAGATGGTAGGGTGCGTGGGGAAAGAAGATAAAAAGGGAGAAAATGTTTCTTTCTGGCTGCTTCCCAGGGCCCCGTGGGGTCCCGTGAGAGCCCGACAGCTGTGAGATTGCCTGCAGCTCTGGCGGAGCAGGAGGGCCCGGCACTCCCCGCAAAAGTGCTCTGAGAGAAAGGTTTTGTGCAGATAGCCAGGCATGATTAATTGATGGGCCGGCTCTCGGGCAGAGGATCAGATTTCACAGATACATATGCATATATCATTTGGCTCTCCTGAGCAGGAGCAGGAAATGTTCATTCAGCATAAGGCAGGACGGCATAAGGCAAGCAGATCTAAACAAAGGTTTTCCATCCCTTCAGTGGGTACCTTCTCCGCCCTCGTCACTTATTCAGTGAGCTTCCACTGAGCACCAAGTGCATGCTGAGGTCCCCAGCGAGCTCCTCCTGCCCTGTGCCGCTGGAGGCAGGGGTGCAAGAGCTCTGGCACAGGTGAGGAAAGCAGAGGGCGTTCTAGGGAGGACCACAGAGGGCCCAGGCACGGCTCCCGCATGGGGCCCGGGTCCAGCGGGTAGACGCAGAGGAAAGCCCAGTGATTCTGGAATGTCAGGGAGCGAGGGGCTGCTGAAGGGGAAGCGGGGTCGTCAGTGGGGTCTCAGGAACCTCCGAGGGAAGCCCACACTTTGCTTGCAGATGACGGGCTTTGAGAAAGTGGGTGCTGAGGTCAGGTCCACACACAGGAGATTTCCCTGCGGCCCCTTTGGAGTCGCTGGGGACTGGAGACACCAGAAGCCTTGCAGGGCTGCAACTCCATGAATGCAAGGTGTGGCAGCTAGAGCCCAGGAAAAGCGTGCAGGGAGCGGATTTAAGAAACTTGTTTTGGAAGCCGGGTGTGGTGGCACACGCCTGTAATCCCAGCACTCGGAGGCTGAGGCAGAAGGATCCTGGTGAGTTCGAGGCCAGCCTGGGCTACAAAGTGAGCTCAAGTTTAAGCCCAGCCTGGGTTACATAGTGAGTTCAAAGCTGACCTGAACTACACAGCGGAGAACTATCTCAAAGAGAGGAAGAAAGAAAGAGAAAAAGATTTATGTAGCTGGGTGTGGTGATCCACCTATGTCATCCCAGTGCTCTGGGAGGCTGAGACAGAAAGATGACAAGTTTGTACCCAGCCTGCGCAACTTAGTGATTTAAAGAGACTCTGTCTCAAAATAAAAAATACAAAGTGTTGGGGATGTAGCTTGGTGTGAAGGCCCCGGATATAGCCCCCAGTACCTCCACTAACAAAAATAAAAACAAGCAAAAAAAAAAAAAAGTTTGGCCAGAATTTAACCTGAGAAGCAAGGCAAGGATCCCCTCGAGTTTCCAGCTGGGATGACTGCTGGGTGAGGCTGTCACTATGGTAGGAAAAAGCGGCCACGGGGAGGTGGGCTGGGTGATGACGCCTGCGGTTGGAGATCTGTCCCGTATGAAGAGCTGGGGGATCCCGGAGGAAGCGTCCCACAGGCAGCAGCACATGCAGAGGGAGAGGCCAGGCTGGGAAGAGGGTGGGGAAGGGCAGGAACATCCTGCCCTGTGGCCCCCAAATTCTCAGGGGCTGAGAGTGAGGCAGGGGGAGGGGCTGGACGGCGCAAGGGATACTGGGAAACTCATTGTGGGAACTAAGAAGCAGGCTTTGGTGGTCATCAATCCGTGTGGGCACCGACCCGTCCACCTCCAGTTTTCTCCAGGACAGGATTCCGTCAGGGAGGCTGACTGACCAGTACCAGGCTGGGCCCTTGGCTGGAGGAAGGAAGGGAATGGAGCGCGGAGAACTAACCTCACCGGAAAGTACCTGCCCAGCTGTCCAGAGCCTGGAGTTGAGGCTGGCTGGGCTCGGGCTCCCGGGTACTGCACTCCCTGTGCACCTGTCACTGTCAGAGGAGTCAGGGGACCGGGTCCGCTGGTGGCGTGCTGACCAGGAGCCAGCCAGGACAGTGGAGAAGCAGCTGTGTCTTCTGCAGGCTTTCCTTCCCCTTGGTCCAGTCTGATGTGCTGTTATGGACTGAACTTTTGTGTCCCCCTAAATTCCTAGGTTGAAATTTAGTCCCCAGTGTAAAGTATTTGAAGGTGGGGATTTAGGAGCTAATCGGGCCCTGAGGGCGGAGCCTCCAGTGGAGATCAGTGCACCTGTAAAGCAAGGCCAGCCAGCTACTCCTCCTCCCTTCAGGAGAGAGCACCAGGAGGCGTTTGCAGTCTGCACCCGAGAAGAGGGCCCCCCAGAGCCTGACAGGTGGGTATTTTGCTGTTTTTTTAAATTATTATTATTATTATTTTGTTTTGTTTTTTTCCCCAGTACCAGGAATTGAATTCACGACCTTGCACTTGCCAGACAGGCACTGTGCCGCTGAGCTAAGTCCCCAGCCCCAGGTGGGTATTTTGATCTCAGACTTCTAGACCCCAGAACCCAGGGAAATAAGTTCCTGTGGGTGATAAGCCACCCACTCTTGGACAGCCTTGGAGACAGCAAGTTTGAGATGTCGGAGCCTGCGATAGATCCTGGGTCCCCGAATCATAATCATCAATGGGCGGACAGACCCCTCTGCGCTGGAACGATCATTTAGGCTTCTTGCAATCAAGAAATGAACTAGATTGAGCTGCTACACAGTTTGGAATGTGTTTATTTTAACATCTAGAATTACTGTATTTATTTATTTATTTGCCTCTTTGAGACAGAGTTTCACTATGCAGTTCAGGCTGGCCTTGAACTCACTTTGTAGCCCAGGTGGGCCTCTAAATCACAGTGATCCTCATGCCTCAGCCTCCCAAGTGCTGGGATTACAGGCGAGCACCACCACACCTGGCCTCTAGCACTACTTTAACGAATGTAAGGCCTGAGACAAACAGTCGGCTGTCCAGGTGATACAGGTGAGTCTGAGGGCATGGTCAAAGCCTCTGGGGACAGAAGGTCTTTGTTGCCAGATGTGGTGGTGCACAACTATAATCCTAGCACTCCGAGAGGCTGAGGCAGGAGGATCAGAGCAAGTTCAAGCCCAACCTGTGTAACTTAGCAACTTAGCGAGACCCTGTCTCAAAATAAAAAATGGGCTGGGCTATAATCAATCCTCAGTCCCATCCACAAAAAAAAGTCATTGTAAGGGTCAAGCGCAGGAGTGGAGAGAGGACCAGAAGAGCCAAGGAAGAGGGAACGGAGGCCTTCAATCCGATGCAGGAGGCTGAGATGTCAGAGAGAAGCTCCCCGCCCGTGTGGCAAGAGGCGAGTGGGAGGAGCCTGGTGACTGCGATGATGCGGGTCGGGCATTATCTCAGCTGATCAGTCCACGTGGATGCTGGAATCAGGTGGTTTGGTTTGGTTTTGAGACAGGTCTCGCTATGCAGTTCAGGCTAGACTTGAACCCACTATGGAGCCTGAGGTGGTGTCAAACTCACGGTGATCCTCCTGCCTCAAACTCCCGAGTGCTGGGATGACAGCGTGCACCACCACACCTGGCTGGATGTTGGCATCTGGATGAAACAGCTGGGGGAGTCGAGGGAGGCCTCAGAGGGGCTGGCCCTGTCCTGCAAGCTGGGCCAGGGAAGGCGTGTCAATGCGCAGACCACGGGATCACCATCCCTAGTCCTGCCAGCTGCCAGCCTGGCATCTCATCCCTGCTCAGACTTGCTCAGCAGGCCACAGGGGACGCACATACGAGGGCTGGTTCATGACAGGCTCACCGGCAATTGCTGGGGCAGGCTCACTCCATCCGGAAACACGGCAGGCCGCAGCGGTGCTGCCTTCAGCTGGGAAAGCGGCTTGACACACTCCAAAGCACTTCATTCCCAGGGTATCTGAGCGGCATGGGCATCTGACCTGCACCAGCGCAGGACACCTGAGTGATCAGTGAGACCCTGCAGGGGCAGGTGGTCCAGGGTCTCTTGATCCTTGGCTTGAGAAATCCTCAGAAAGGAATTTCTTTTTTTGTTGTTCTTTTGTTTGCGACAAGGTCTCACTATTTTGCTCAGGCTGCCCTTGAACTCACTACATAGCCCAGGCTGCCCTTGAACTTTTAGTGATTCTTCTGCCTGAGCCTCCCGAGGGCTGGGATCATAAGCATGAACCACTGTGCCCGGCTCCTTTCCCATTGCTTGACAGACACTGCCAGTCATCTTAGGAAGATTTAGGCTTCAACCTACCATTGGCAGGAGATGACTGAGGGTCTCCAAGAGGCCATTCTAGCTAGTGATTCTTAGGTAAGTTTCTGAGTGAATAGTTCCGAAGCAAGAATAAGAGTGACAGCCAGGTGTCGTGGCACATACCTGTAGTCTCAGCACTGTGGAGGCTGAGGCAGGAGGATCACCATGAGTCTGAGGCCAGCCTGGGCTACATAGTGAGACCCTGTCTCAAAAAAAAACAGAACAAAACATAAAAGCACCAGCAACAGCAACCCAAGGGTACCAGCATCCCCCATTGTGTCAGAAGGCCAAGGCATCCCCTTTCGTTGCTGTCCTCCCTCAGGTGACTTGGTGGCTCAGGCTGGGGCTGCGTGATGGGCACTAACCCAGCTTGTGTGAGGGCTGCGTTCAATGGCCAGCGCTGCAGGTGGGTGAATCTCAGCGGGTTATAATAAGGACAGCCGTTGACGACCTCACTCTCCCTAGGGTTGGTGCAGGTGTGACTGGCTGGCTGTTTTGGCTGAGCCTTCTCATGCAGTTGTCACCAGGCCATGATGTGGGTCTGTGGTCATCTGCAGGCTGGCTCTGGCTTTTGGCCTAACGTGTGGCGGCTGCTTCTGCTCGCACAGCACAAATGCTTCAGGAGAGGCTGACGCACAGCTGTGATGCCTCTTAGGACTCACACACCCTCATTGCAGAAGTCGCGTGCTGCCGCTCCTGCAGTAGCCTCTCGGTTACACAGGCCAGCCCCACCGGACGGAGGAGAGAACTGAGCAGACGATGAACACCAGAAGCTGAGAGGCACTGATTTTTTATTTTATTTATTTTATATTTTTAGGGCCGGGGATATAGCTCGGTGGCACCATGCCTGCCTGGCAAGCATGAGGTCTCGAGTTTGATTCCTGATACCAAAAATAAAATAAAATAAATACAATTCGATTTTTTTTAAAGACGCTGGCACCCACATCTGCCATCCATAGCAGAGGCTTCATCCTCATGTTCCAAAACAGCTGCTGTAACACCAACTCTCGCATCATAGTTAATGCATTCTAACTAGTGGGAAGGAAGAAAGGAAGCATGCTGAAAGATGTTTTACAGAAGTTAGCTGGACCATTCTATTTCTATCTCATTGGTCAGAACTTAGTCATATAGCTGCAAAGGAGGCTGGTATGTTTTGCATTATGGCTTACCTAGACCAGATATTGGGGGAAAACTGTCATACTCTGCTATAGCAGCAACGGCCCCACGTGTATTATGGAGGGTGGCGGTGGGGTGGAGGAGGAGACGGAGAACATTCGCTCCCTTGGGTTACTGCCCTAGCTAAGGACTCAAGACTCATTTTGCCTGGAGTGTGTGTGTGTGTGTGTTTTAAGAGGAGTATAGATTGCTGCTTCACCCTGTAATTAGTGAATCTCAGTATAAAGAGAAAATAGTCCTTAGAGGAAACAAATGAGCACACAGAACAGACCCAGCCCCGGAGCCCAGTCAAGGGCAGTCAAAAGCAAAGCAGATTCCGGAATGTGAAAGACCATCACCGGAGCATAGTGAGGGCAGCCTCGCTCTGCACACAGAACCTCAGGCTTAAATACGTCCCGGGCAGCCTGATTTATGGATCCGAATGTGGAAGCACAGATGGGCAGTTCCACCAGCTGTGTTTTTAAAAGATCATATGATTCCCGATCAATGAACCGAAGAGACCAAATGCAGACGTGTTAGTGTCGAGCAGCAGATTTGCCCAGAGACCTCTCCAAGACCAGAGCCAGGGCTGGGGCAGCCAGCCGGGCACTGACTCAAGCTGGGGGGCAGACGGAGGCTGGCATCAGCTGTTGAGGGCTAGCTGGGCAGAAGAGGAGCCATCCCTGGCCAGAGAATGCTAAGGCTCGAGAAGTCCACCGGAAGAGAAACTGCCTTGGCAGAAGGGAGATGAGGCTGTGGCCCGGCCAAGTGGCCAGGGACAGCCATGGCTGTGATGCTAGAGGAATGCGGAGTCTCCAGCCAGCAGCCTGGGGCTGGGGCACCCGAGAGGACAGCAGGTACCGCCCCAGCCCTTGTGGCAGGAGCCAGCGTCCTCCTGCAGCACTACCACCCCGGCAGGGGGACCGTTTAGAGGAGAGAGTAGGGCTGTCGGACACGGGGCAGGCTCCCACCGGCCACAGCCCTTGCTCCTTACTGCAAGGGACTTGTCAGTCCTCACCTCCCTGCTACCACACAGGCTGTTTCCTCCCCTCCCAGCCTTCCGCTCTGCCTTGGCTGGAGTCCCACGGTCACAAACAAGGCCTTGGTGGGCCTCTCACAAGACACCTGCAGGTGTGGCTGCGGCCAGGCTCTAATCGTGGGCAGACGGGGACATCTGTGGGGGTGAGTGAGGAGCGTAAAGGGCCCAGTTGGCTCAGGCACCTGGGACTGTGCTTGCTGGTTTGGTTTGGTGTTGCTACTGGGGATTGAATGCAGGGCTTTCTCACTGAGCTACCTCTCCAGTCCCTTTTTACATTTTGAGGTAGAGCCTCACTAAGTCACTAATTGGCCCCGACTGCCTCAGCCTCCCACAGTGCTGAGAGTGCAGGCGTGCCACCATGGCCAGCCCATGCTTTGTGTCTGCTGTGTCCGTGTTTTGTGGGTTTGTTTTTTTTTTGTTGTTTTTTTTTTTTTGTCTTTTTTTGAGACAGAGTCTCACTATACAGTTCAGGCTGGCCTTGAGCTCACTTTGCAACCCAGACTGGTCGCAAACTTGCAACAGTTCTCCTGTCTCAGCCTCCCAAGTGCTGGGATTACAGGAATGTGCCACCACACCCAGCATGTGCCCATTTTTTTGTTTTTCTTTTTGGTGCCAGGAGACGAACTCAGGACCTCGTGCTTGCCAGGCAGGCTCTTGTGCCGCTGAGCTACATCCCGGCCCTGCTGTGCCCATGTTAACTGAGCACCTACTTAAAGGCGCAGACACTAACTACACTCTAGGGACACAGAGCAGAGGGCTCCAGCAGCATGGCTTCAGATACATAAACAGAGTGACACCGCGGTGTGCAGCGTGCGGTGACAGCTGAAGCTGAGGTCCAGAAACAATGGGAGGGCTGTGTGCTAGTAGAGCGATAGAGGTCAGCGCCACAGAGGAGGTGACACCGGCCACAAGGAGCAGGAATCCTCTGCCACCAGCAGAGTGGAGCCAGGAGACAGCTTCCCAGGCCACGGGAAAAGCAGACCCCCAGGCCTGAGCTGGCAACTTCTCGGGTCAGTAAGAGGATCTCCCCACCTGGTGTGCTCACCGTGCTCTGAAGTCGCTGGGATCCCTTGGGGTGCACGGCAGCCTTGATCTCCGTGCGCTGAGTGACTCGGCCGAGGAAGAGGAGGGGAGAAGGTGCACCCTGTCTGTGGCATTCTGTGGCTTCTTCTCATGGGTCTTTGGTATTTAGCCATGGTGGCAGAGTAGTACACGTTAGGAAAGGGGTGAGAGTTCTCTGGACCTTGAGAACCCACACGAGCTCCACTCCTTCTTCATG